TTTCTTCCTCTTAAAAAAAAAATAGATGACCTTAAACTAGATAAGCTACAAGGCCCCTTTTAGCTTACAGACTGTTTTAGACAAATATCTTAAGATGATGCTTTACATGAAATATTAAAAAATTATCAGAAACCTGCCACAGTTAAAATGAACAGGCTTTCAGTAAATAATTTTTGTTTAAATTTTTCTTTAAAATCAATGGATTGCTTAGTTTTAATTACTAAGCTACTCAATACAAGCAAATGGGTTATATAATTCACCACATCTAAACAGAAAAGTTAAATAATAGGAGAATGACTTTTAAATGTGCAACACAGTAGCAGTTGTTCTAGTTTCATTAATTGTCATGTATCGTGCCACGTCCTTTATCTGCTTGTGAATTTACAAGGAACACAGCAGGTTGTGAATTTTTAATAGGCTTTCCTCAAGGAAAGAAAAGGTCAGCATTAACATAAAATTCTTCTTAAAGATTTGTGGCACAAATGTTTCACACAGGAGAACAGGTGTTACAGAGGAACTAAAGCCACAGTAATCTGACATTCTTTCTATGTTTAAAGAAAACTTAATGTTTCACATAATAAAATAACACAAGGTCAAATCAATACAAAAGTTATTTCAAAGTGGATGCTGTAAGTTACTTGGCACATGATCCGTAATCCTATTCTCAGTAACAAAAACCACTAATTTTGTTCAATTAAATATTTAATTGATCCAAGTATTGATACCTAACATCCAAATAAAAAAGGGAAGAGTAATGAGAAAGCTATCATTGTCAGGACTAACTAATCCTGGTCTGATTTTTATTTAGTAAATGAGTTGTAGTCTGAAATAGAATTTTATCCCACACAAGAAATAAGAAACAGAGACATTATGCCAGGGAAAGGGTGGGGAAAATATACAAAAGAAGAGGTAATTAGAATAAAAAGGAGAAATTTAAGAGAAGAGAGGGCACTTAAACAGGATGATATAATTAAAGAATTTTGTCCACTGGTCTTGTTCTGTAACTGCTAAGGAATCAGTGACAACAGCATACCTGCTGTAAGTTAACTCTTGTCTCTCAAGGGTTTCAAACCAGCGTTTCAATCACTCAGGTTTCAGGAGGTCTAGAAATGTATCTCTCTGCCTTATAGTAAATATTTGTTGTAGTTTCTTTACTGGTCCAGTTGCCAAATATGTTTGGTTAAATAATATTTTGGTAAACATAGGCCAATTTTAAGCCCCCAAATATGATCATTTTGGCCCTTTATTCTAATGTCAGCATTCCTTAAAAAAGAAGATACTTTGCAGAGCCTGGGTGGCTCAGTTGGCTTAGCACCGACTTTGGCTCAGGTCATGATCTTACAGTTCGTGGGTTCAAGCCCTGCGTCAGGCTCTGTGCCGATAGCTCAGAACCTGGAGCCTACTTTGGATTCTGTGTTTCTCTCTTTGTCCCTCCCCTGCTCGCACTCTGTCCTGAAAAATGAATAAACTTAAAAATTTTTGAAGAAAAGATACTTTTTTTTTAATGCAATCTCTCTAATGGTTTAAGAAAAAATGCATTGTAAACCTGGCTTCTTAAGACCAAAACTTATAAATGCATAGGTCTGATTTTTTTCTGTTAAATACGAGAAAATTAGAAATCCTTTTCATTTTGATTCTCCAAATCACTGTCCAGCTTCTAACCCTCATCTCTTTGATCTCATTCTACCATGTTAGATTTCCTAATCCAATGGAAACTCCCACAGTATGTGATCCAATTCCAGGATTTATGTTCTCTTTCTGTAGTATAAGTTAAGGTAAAAATCCTGCTGTGATTCATATTCTAAAACTGAACTTCAGAATAATTAAGAGATCCCCATTCTAGCATTTTCTTTTGCATGTCTAACTGATTAGAATGGCAGAACTGGTGTTAATGATTCCCATCTTGCTGTATATCCTTTCCCACTCCGAATCTACATTCTATATTCATCTAGTGTTCTGTACACTTTGTAAAATGCAAAAAAAAAAAAAAAAAAAAAAATCCAAGTTTATACCTCTAGTCATTCTTTATTTGGTAGTTTAGGTGTTAGATGCTGTAGGAAATCCTCACACACAGAAGTGGGCCTGTGAATTTCTCTTACACACAGCATTTGGATTTTCCATAGCAATAGAATGGAATCATTGATTTACTTTTAGAAGTACTTGATTCCTATGAGAGTAAACACATATTCCTCAATTAAAATTGTTGAATGGATAGGCAGTAAAAATCACAACTCTTTACTACAAATCACAAAGTTATCTGAACAAATGATTGATAATATCATAATCTTTTCTTGAATTCTTTCGATTCCTAGGCAGAATAAGAACTATGCAATGCTTGTGTGCTGTGTGGAAAATTGCCACTGTTGCACATTCATGTCACTGGAAAGTTTCGTGGAAGCTATGTGTGTTTTCAATTACTAAAAAGCATCAATCTTGCAACTTATTGAGAGTGGTTCCCTGGACAATGCCGTCATATGTTACTTCTGAGGGCTTTTTATTAAAAGCAGACATTTTGTGAGTTTTTCAACCTTACCTTATTGTTTGTGAATAGCTAAAAGTGCAGTAAAAAAATATTTGTCATCCGGCTTCTCTCTTTCTTTAAAGTACATATCCATTTGGGTTTCTTTCCCGATATATCTATAATAATGAGTTATTTGTCCAGGAATCAGAAAAAATGACTTTGATCCAAATTTGATGGCTAAAGACTAATTACTAAAAACCATTAACTAAAGGGAAGACTGCCTTTATTTATTTATTTATTTATTTATTTATTTATTTATTTATTTAATTTATTTAGAGAACAAGCACCTGAGAGTGGGTGAGGGGCAGAGAGAGAGGGAGAGAGAAAATCCCAAGCAGGCTCCATGCTGTCAACATAGGGCCACACATGGGGCTCGACCTCAGGAGATTATGACCTGAGCTGAAATCAAGAGCTGGACACTGAACTGACCAGGCACATGTGCACCTCAAGAGCAGACTGCTTTTGTAGACCCAATAATACCAGTAATACAATATATTATCTGTATGTGTGTGTTTTAAAACATATACTTAACCTAACAGTTTTATGTTCATGTAAAAATGTTGTCACAGCCAAGTCATTGACATAAGCTCCGAAAAAGAAAAAAAAAAGTCTTTCAAATAATATAAATAAATAAGCCTGCTTTAAATAGAAAATAATCAGTTTAATATTTCTACATGAAATTAGATGAAAATGTCTGTTGATGTAAATAATCTCAAGCAAAATATCAAACATTATTTAGATAAACATCTAACTCTAATTTTTGTGTAATTGAAAGATATTGTCTCCAGTTTTTAATTTTTAGGCTGCACATCAGTGTGTCTATTCTATCTTACAACTACATTTTATATGAATACTTAGAACAATGTTTGTGATGATTCCTAAATTATAATAAATGCCTTCTAGAAGTTTAGAAAATCTGCACATTGTTTTCATATTTCTTTTTTAAAATTTTTTTTTCAACGTTTATTTATTTTTGGGACAGAGAGAGACAGAGCATGAACGGGCGAGGGGCAGAGAGAGAGGGAGACACAGAATCGGAAACAGGCTCCAGGCTCTGAGCCATCAGCCCAGAGCCCGACGCGGGGCTCGAACTCACGGACTGCGAGATCGTGACCTGGCTGAAGTCGGACGCTTAACCGACTGCGCCACCCAGGCGCCCCTTCATATTTCTTATCTGCTATAAAAACAAAATAAAAATTGTAAACATAATCTCTTATTGCAAATAATCCAACTGTGAGCCCAACATAGAAACTGCTTATTGGTTGGGTGGTTCAATTAAAGAAAAACTTATAATCCTTGTGTTGTACAAAGCCATGCTTGGTCCCTCCTACATGTTAGCCCAGGATGCAGGGTAAGAATTCCATGGAGAGCAGGGGATATTCACCTCTAGAGCCTGCACATCTATTCCCAGGTAATACTCAAGGTACTTGGGACCCATTATTTCCTGCCCAAACATCCCTGAGCTTGCTTCTAGGTCCAGGAAAGCTCTCTCTTCCATGTCAGTCACCCAAAGACCAGACTTACCAACTGTTATATGCATCCCTAACCTCTGGGGGCAGTCCCAGGGAGTATATGTTAAAATACAATATAGATGGAATTTGCCCACGAAAACCTGGAATCCTAGGTAGCATTTACACTGGGATGGGTTGTGCACTGGGCTGAGATGCCCACATGAATGCCTGCAAAGCTCTTTGACATGAGTGGATTCTGGATGATTAATGTTGTAGGCATAGGCAAAGAAACAGACTTGCTTAGCATTGTCTTGTTCCTGCACAAAACTTGTTTGAGGTTTCTAGGAAGATACATTTGGCAAGATAGCAGACTATATAAGACATATATGATTGTAGAATTTATTAACTTGGTTTATAATATTAGAATACATAAATATCTATTTGTACTCTTTTTCTGAGTTTCCAAAATATTTGTGGGCAGTCTCTCTCTCTCTTTGTATGAACCAAAAAATAATGCATAGTGCTTCTAACATAGGAGCTATACCTCGTACACCTTTGCCTTTCTTACAGTTAAGCTATCACTAATTCTCCAATGGAAATGCAATAACTAATAGTAAGTTTATAAGAATTTCCTAAATAATAGGAGAATAAGAGAATTTTCCGCTCAAGAAAGAAATGCGAGAAGAAATGTTTACAGAAGCATATCAAGACCAATGACATAGCTTTGTCGGGATTTAATTGCCTATGAAAATGGTTATTTGCAAAGCAAAGTGAAGGGGGGAACTGTGTTTGGTTTATTTTTATTACTTTTTCCCATTTAAAGTAAAAATCACACTGGTATGTGAAAGGCTAGCCTTGCTGTTTAAGATATACAGGTGAGTGTGTTCATACTTATTCAAGTCACATTTCAAGAACTAAGATAACTGACCCCATTATTCAGTGATGGGACATGAGAGACTGTTTGAATTCTTTCAGCATTATGTACTTTTAGGCATTATCATGGATATGCTCTTTTTTATTTCCCTTAGCTTCATTCAGACCAAGATAAAGGAGACGGATCACTCAAATATATTTTATCTGGAGATGGAGCAGGTACTCTTTTTATTATTGATGAAAAAACAGGTGACATTCATGCCACAAGAAGAATTGATAGGGAAGAAAAAGCCTTTTATACTCTGCGTGCACAAGCTATTAACAGAAGAACTTTGAGACCAGTAGAACCAGAATCTGAGTTTGTGATCAAAATCCATGATATCAATGACAATGAGCCAACGTTCCCAGAAGAAATTTATACAGCGAGTGTTCCGGAAATGTCTGTTGTAGGTAAGTTCATTTATAGGAGTTATCATGGTATGTAAAAAGTATACAAAATAATTACCAGAAATTTTTAAAATGCTATGATCAGTTAATTGACATTTTTGAGTCCCTCCTAACAGTACTTATTTAATTTCCTCATGTCGGAAATGAGTTAGAAAAAAAAGAAGAGTAATTTTTTACATGCCATGGATTTGTAAATCTTTGCAAATAAGTAGATATTTCCTTTAAAAACCAATGAAAATATCATTAAAATTTAGTAGAAAATTATGAAAATATAATATCTTTGTCACATGGATTTGTGTAACAGCTAAGTAAAATTCTGATCCCAAATATATTGTACGCACATTTAGGTAAGTATAGATGTAATATAGTCTTCATATACATTCTCTAGTTATAATTCGCCTAAAGACTTTGTCTGGTTTATCTAAATGATACAAAAGGTGGAAATGATTAGATTATCTAATTCATATTATTTTAAAACATATTTTTCTTATAAGCATAATCCTGCTGATATAAATCTCTTACTCAAACAAACTAGTGGAAATCCACAATCACATACTGATATACAAATACAGATTTAGGCTGTAGAATCTATAAGATGGAAAGCATGAAAAAGCTACAAGTATAACACTCAAGATAATGGAACTTTCTTTTTCAATGGAAATAAACAGAAGTTGTTATTTGTAAGCAAAGAAAGTTAAGATTGCCTTATTTTTTTATTAAATAGAGAATGACAAAAAACAAACATCAGGAAACAAAGGTAACATTTTTTTGGAGATAGATATTTAGATTTGGTAGAATAAATTTATTCCTCAAGCATGGGGGAAGTCATATAAACCAATGCAATAATTCTGATTGTTTTCTTTTAAGTTACAATGGCACATTTTCAACTCTGCATTTCTCAAAAGCATTGTTCTGGGATTATTATTTAATATTTACTTCACTAAATCCCGAGGACTTTGGCAATTGCTTTATGATAAAGCTCTTTTTTTATATCTTGAACTTTATTAAATAGCTTTTAATAGTTCATGGAACTTGGGATCCTCTTGGATTGTTTCTAAATTTAGAATTTAATCTATTCATAAAATTGTATTCTAGAGCAGATGTTAATTATTTTTATAGTCAATTAGTGGAGAGGAGGAAAGAGGAGCACACTTACTCCTTTGTGATCAGATATGCCCTTTACATGAAACAAATCTATTATGTGAAAATGAATTTTAATATCAAACCTCATCATTGAAAGTAACTGCATTTATTATAGTCTGATACATTGTAGCATTATCTACAGGTGCATAAAAATATACCTGTTGGCTAATTAAATATGTAACTGAATTCAGAGTTTTCCTGTAATAACACTATATGTATGATTTTCATGTCAATTATATAGAAATGTTTCTTTAAGAGGTCATTATTAAAGCCAAAAATCATTCAAGTCTTCCATGAAAACCAGTGCTTTTGCTCCTCCTTCTGGTGCTGTGCAGAACTAAGCTGAATTTGGATACTTCAGGTACTTCCGTGGTGCAAGTCACAGCTACAGATGCGGATGATCCTTCCTATGGGAACAGCGCCAGAGTTATTTACAGCATACTTCAAGGGCAGCCATATTTCTCTGTGGAGCCTGAAACAGGTCAGGAATCGTGAATCAGTTGTTACTTTAAGTCATTATGATCTTTTCAAGTAGAAAAAAGGTGGGAACAATAAGACAAACATTAACATTACTGCTTACAGAAGAAGAGGGATGATATCACACTTAAAGACGAGAATTTAAGTGAAATGACTGAGTGAGCTAACGGAAAGAGACCTGGCTTTCTGTTTTTTGCATACGGGTTTAGGTCACTATATAGTCAATATGGTATTCTTTAGGTAACAGAAAATCCGCACAAATTGTAAAATATTTCCACTGAATCATTTTCATGATTTCTGGACAATAAAAATTAATAGCAAAAATATATTCTGTCTTTCAAAAAACCCTAGATGTATAATAGGTGGTCTTAATCAACTAATATTTGAAACTTTAATGAGGATAACAAAAGTTTTTTTTTTTTTTTTCTTCCAGGTATCATCAGGACTGCTTTACCAAACATGAACAGAGAAAACAGAGAGCAGTACCAAGTGGTAATCCAGGCCAAAGATATGGGCGGCCAGATGGGAGGCTTATCAGGGACCACAACGGTGAACATCACACTGACAGATGTAAATGACAACCCACCTCGCTTCCCCCAGAGTAAGCTGCCTTTTTTTTTTTTAATTTTTTTTCAACGTTTTTATTTATTTTGGGGACAGAGAGAGACAGAGCATGAACGGGGGAGGGGCAGGGAGAGAGGGAGACACAGAATCGGAAACAGGCTCCAGGCTCCGAGCCGTCAGCCCAGAGCCCGACGCGGGGCTCGAACTCACGGACCGCGAGATCGTGACCTGGCTGAAGTCGGACACCCAACCGACTGCGCCACCCAGGCGCACCATAGAGTAAGCTGCCTTTAATGGTCTTTCCACATGGCAAAAGCTTTAGACTAACAAGAGAAAAGATATGGAAAAGGTAGTTGTCAATCATTTAAGTTTAAAAACATTGAAAATGTGCTACAAAAGTGAAGAAAAAAAAAAGGTCCGTATGCTGATGCATTCACTGTTACTGAAATGTAAAAAAAATATATTTCGGATATATTTCATTTAGATATAGGGATCTATGGATGATCACAAAACCTGTCCATAAATATGCTCTGCATCCATGACTACAATCCAAGAACTATTTCTTTCAGTTCGCAAAAAGAAATGATGTTTTATTGGAAAACAAAGTCATACTTCTACAATGAATGTGTTTACTTCCACCTAGAATTTAATAAGAAGGATCTTAACTTGAGGGTAACATTTTTCAATAAAATATCTAATTCGTCATATTATGAGGACTTAGTCAGAAAGGGCTACATAGCCAGAACATAACAAACTATTCAGACTTACATTTATATCGCTGTGTCAGACTTACAGTTACTCTCTCTGTGTTTGGAATGGTAATCATTCTAAAACATTTTGTATCCCTGACCTATTTAGTTATAAAACACTAAATCTATTTAGTGATAATGTCATGTATTTGGATCTATTTTTGTTATAAAATGAACTCTTCAAGTTCTCAAAATAGATCAAGAATAGGTTAAGAACCGTTAGCTTCTGACCATATAACACATGTATTTATTCATGTGTTATACACATGAATCCCTTTTTTATACAAATTTGTATAGACATGCAATTAGAGTGGGTGATGTTAGATCTGAATGGGCACCCCAAGTATCAGACAATTTCCTGCTCATTGGAAAAATCTGTACTTTAAGATGGAATTTTATGTTGTTAGAAATGTGGCATAAAATGCAGGTTGCAGTATCTTTGTCATTATTTTTTGGCATTTTTTGTGTGTTCACTTCTAAGTTGATCTCCCAATTCTAGTTTGATTTTTGGCTTACATACTTTTGGGAGAAATTATTAAAATGTAGTTTTTTGTGATATTTATATTTTTACACTAAAGACTATAATGCACAAGGAATCATGGTCTAAGAATTTGTTGCATTATTTTGACTGTTTCAAAGAAATTTACCTCTTTTCCATGTTATTTTTATCTAACTTTGATGAGTAAAAATAGTGTATGATTTGAATTGATTTGTCTAAAATCTTGTGTGTAGAAAAATTGTAACGTTCACATAGAATGTTTTTTGAGCACAGTAATCACTTGTTTATTATTCATGATGATTCTTTTGCTAAATATTAAGGAATGTCCCCATTAGGTCTGCCATTGTGGTGTTTGGCTCCAAACAGAGAAAAGGGTATTTCTTTATGCTCTTTTCAAACAGTCAGACTACAGCTCCAATTACCTGTAGCATCAGCAGGAGAAAGGAAAATAATAATCCCTGTTATTTCTTCTCAAACAAATCTGAAGACATGCTTAGTGGCATTAAAATTCAAATTTCACGTTTTGTATATATTTCTGACCACCTCTTAACCTGAACTTGTTACCAGGAGAATTAACATGCAAATCCAGTAGAATAAACCATAACTAATTAATCACATTATCCACAAGAGGCAAAAATATTCCTTTAAAAAAGTATTTTTTAAGTCAAAAATAAATGACCACTAAGAGGACCATTATATTTTAAATGCTCAGGAACATATATACACATGTCAAAAATGCAGTTCATTTAAAAATGATAATCCAGGGGCGCCTGGGTGGCGCAGTCGGTTAAGCGTCCGACTTCAGCCAGGTCACGATCTCGCGGTCCGTGAGTTCGAGCCCCGCGTCAGGCTCTGGGCTGATGGCTCAGAGCCTGGAGCCTGTTTCCGATTCTGTGTCTCCCTCTCTCTCTGCCCCTCCCCCGTTCATGCTCTGTCTCTCTCTGTCCCAAAAATAAATAAACGTTGAAAAAAAAAAAAAATTAAAAAAAAAAAAATGATAATCCAATAAAGGAAATTAATAGATTCTAATTAAGCACAAAAATCAGATATTTGAAAGATAATAATGTCCAATGAAAATTCATTTTATTATTTTTTCATCTACTATGATACCTTTATTAATTCATTTGATAATCTTTTCCTTTGCTTTTGTTGATCAGAATTTATGATTGGCATCTGACAGATACATTACACAAGCCCTGATATAATTATAATAGTAGTGATGATGATGATGATGAAATATTGATAATAAAAAGAAGCAGCAACATAACACATTTTCTGAATAACATGTTTTTTGGACACTGTACCAAGTTATTGATTGGCCTACTGTTATTTGATCACAATAACTCATTTAGGTCAATATTATGATCCCCATTTTACAAATGAGAAAACAAAAGTTCTAGATGTTAAGACGAAACTCCAAGTAACGCAGATTAGGGTTGAAATCCATGTCCAAATCCAGATGTATAGCACAACACATTTAGAGGAATTGTAGAGCACCTTGTATCTTGCCTCATTATTTTTTAACTATAGCTAGAAACATAATTTGTGGATTTTTATTTTCTCAATTATATTTTCTGCAATGAATATTTGCAACCATATCTTACTATTGGGAACATTCAGTCATGGCAATTAGAATACCACTTGATAACCTCAGTCATCTAATATCCAGAAAACTAGTTTTTAATTTCCAATATCATTTCATTAAATAGCTAAGATTTGGAGACAGTTCCACAGTTTATGAAGTCTTTCATATGTGGCATAGCACTGAGAACTCAGAACTAACCTATGTAGATCCCTTGTTAGTATTATTATACTCAATGCATGGAAAAAGTAAAGGAGATTCAGAGTGGCAATGATAAAGACAACAAGCCAATGCTGCCTAATTGAAATATAATGCAAACCAAAATTTTGCACCACGTACGTAATCATAATTTTTATCAGCCATCTAAAAAAGTTAAAAGAAACAGGAGAATATATTTTAACCATATATTTTCTTTAGCCTAATAGTGTCCTTTAGATATGTCAATATAAAACTTAATTCAAGTATTTTATATTCTTTGTTACCATAATTCTTTGGAATACCCACTTAGATAATGTATTTTCCAGTTGCATCAAGTCTCAATTCAGACTAACCACATTTCCACTCGATCACTGCATGGAGTGATTCTGCATGAGTCCCAGTGCTGTCTTCCTCACTTAGTAGCTTTTTCATGTTGGTCAGTTAAACCAACCCTTCTGTTTTTCAGTGACAATGAATAAACTTGGATAGCAGTGCATACTCCATGGTAGAGTGTAAGACTAAATAATTCACCACCTATGAAACACTTGACCCAGTGGCTGGCACTAGCGTATTTATGTGTTCAGTAATGTTGATTTGTTCAAGTGCTGCTCTATTACTATTATTAGTCAATATTATAAAAGTGGCCTCAGAACTTAAACTTGCATTGCAGATGGGCTGATCCAAATTCCGTATTTCCCAATATGGTCCATCTGTGAAAGATAAAACTCTCAGTCATTTGGAAGGGACAGTGAAAGATGACAACTCAGATGTCCTGCTTCATTGTTTAGCTTATTTTATTGTGTGGATCTATAACAGTCATTCCCCATTAGGGACAATTTTGCCACCCCAGAGAACATTTGGCAATGTTTTGAGACATTTTTGCTTGTCTCAGCTGGTGGCTTCTACCAGCATCTATTGGGTAGAAGATAGGAATGATCTGAACATCCTTACAATTCATATGACAGAGAATAATTTGGCCCCAAATGCCAACAGTGCTGCAGTTAGGAAACTTTGATGTGTTATATGAGGATCTGTTCAAGTGAAATAATAAATTTATTTATCTGACAATATTTATTGAAAACACACCGTGTGGCGCCTGGGTGGCTGAGTTGGTTAAGCAGCCAACTTTTGATTTTGGCGCAGGTCGTGATCTCACAGTTGTGAGATGGAGCCCCCACCTCAGAGCCTTCTTGGGATTCTCTCTCTCGCCTTCTCTCTCTGCCCCTGCCCCACTTGTTCATGCACATGCTCATGTGCTGTCTCCCTCAAAGTAAATAAACATTAAAAAAAAATGCGTGTACCAAACACTATTTTAGAAATTAGATATATGAATGTTGTCAACAAAGGGTCCTGGTTTTTATCCCTATGACCTTTCATTACAGTAGGTGAGGTCATAACTTATCAGACATAAGTAAAAATATATATATGCAAGGCGTTGACTCAGTCATGGATAAAAAGAGGAACATGTGTGTGCCAAAGGGAAGAGTAGGGGAAGATCTCATTCAGGAGGGGATATTTTATCCAAACATGGCAAGATGAAATAAACTTAGCCATATAAAGAGATGTGAAAATCCACCAAGCAGAGTTAACACCATGTGTGAGACCCTGAGATTGGAAATTGAGTGATTATGTCAAGAACCAAAGATGGTGTAGCTGGATCATACCAAACAGGAATAGGTTGGTGGGAGATTAGATTAAAAAGCTCTACACTCCCAGGAGCATTGACAATAGCCAATTTTTATTGGTATTAACAAACATGTAACTGTGTTCCTGACCTAAGTTATCATCACGGTCCTGTGCTTTTAGAAGTATACAGGTAGGTGAACATTAATGTAATATGGGTGCCCAGCTTAGTGTGATTCTAAAAGAGAGACAATGGATTAGAAGGTTAGGGGGCACCTGAAAACTGAGTTCTAAAAGTATTTTCTGCTCTTTTGCTCTAGATACTAACTTGTATTTTTCAGTCTCAAAAAGATACTCTTTGAATATTTTCACAATCCTGCGTTATA